ATAGTATAATAAAAAATTATTTTGTTATTCAAAAAAAAAAAAAAATTGAAATTTCTGTCAGTTTAATGATAATTTTTTTTAAATTTAATTAATAAAGAGAAAATGCAATTTACGTTGTATTTTCTTTGTTTAAATGGGAATAATATAAGATTAAGCTATTATATATTTTATTCTTTTTAAATTTTTAAATTTGAAAATTATTGTATGAGAGATTTTCTTCGAGCTAAATAAATAAATTTATAAAACAATTTTTAATTAAAAAATGTCCAAGAAAAACAATTAAGAATAAATAAGAAATGAAATAAAAATACGTAAAAAAACAGTTTGTTAGTCACTCTTTACTTTTTGAAAGTGTACTTAAAATTTGAAAAAAATATATGAAATAAAATAGATTCAAAGTAAGCTTATCTTTTTTAATAAAAAATTTTGTTAAACGGGATATGTTTATTTTTGTAACAAAATCTAATTAAAGTATTCGAAAACAGATTTTAACTTTAAAATTTGAGTCGACTTCCTTAGAATATTTTTATTATACTTCTACCACATTGTCTTGGATTACTCGATTTTTATAAATACAATTTTAATAATGGCATTTTTTATATTTATTTTTGGTTTTTATTTTGACCGTTTCTACTGTTTTTACAAAACTCATTTGAATTACATAACAGAGTAACAGTAAGTAACGGTATCCTCCACTTATAACGTTAAATTTCCTTTCACGTTTTCATCTTATTGCCTTTTATTTACAATCCAATATTATCTTATTTAAAATAAAATAGAAAAGCGAAATTTCAATCAATAAGAATGAAACCAAATATAAGGAAATCAAAACTACTTACAAAGTACGTTTACAGTTAGATCAGCAGTGATATTTCCACGACGATTGCTCGCTATGCAAATATAGATGCCTGTATTATCACGTGGTATTGTATAGTTTATTACCAAAGTAGCTGTATCTGCAATTACCGTTTCCCTGACTTTCCAGAGATAAGTGCTAGGAGGCCATGAATGTGCAGAACAATGAACTTTTGCATATACGTGTCCTTCTACAACACTTAATTCATAATTTGAAAGTGTTATGTTTTCCGGAGGAACTGAAAATATTATATAAATTATATTAGTTTTTTTATTAGGTATTTAAATTCGTTAACATATTATCAAATATGTTAACGAAATTGTAACGGTAATAAATGTGAAAAGTTAGAAATAGTAAACACATTTAAGTTGTCAGAAATAAGATTTATGTATTTGCATTCTCCGTAAATTATTTATACGAAAGAATATAACTTAATACTTGAATAATTCATGCTTTTACTAATATAAATTATTCATAAATGTAGAAATATTTAAACTATATAAGGTACATTAAACATATTTACATAAAACGGGGCGTAAACTTACATTCAACTCTAAAATAGGTAGCTGTGCTGACTCCGTGTCCAACATCATTGCCACTACTCGTGCAAGTGTAATAAGCATTGTCCAGTTCTCTATCGAGTACTCCACCAGGCCAAGCTGCCAAATTCCATGTTAAAGTACTAACCATTGATGGAAATGTATTCTTTTCAACTTCCTCTGGATGTTCTGTTGATTTGATGATGTACATCTTTGAATCTTTTAAACTAGCACCATTTTTTAACCATTCTATTTTACACATTGGAAAACATTCAACTCTACAAGATATACTGATTGAAGAATCGTTCTGAGATGCACCATATTCACTCGGAGGCCTTTCTATGAAAACTGGAGGAGCTGTAAACAGCATATTATTCAGATATTTTCGAATTGTAAAACTATATTAAGGTACATTATTATACTAATAAATTACGTTATCATTTTTAAGACTTATGTACTGTACAGTACATCAATGGAAAGATCTAGATTTGTTATTTTCGTGTCCCGAACAATATCTCTAGGGATATATATATACCCTATACATATATATATATAGGTATAACCTTACACTTTATTACATAGTTTAAAACTCTGGATGTATTGAAAAGTTTATAAGCAGACAAACTAAAGAAACTGAACGAATATAATACTATTTGCCTGAGAAAAATCAATTATATTGATAAGAGACTCCTATACAGTTTTCAAAAAATGATTCTCGGAGAATTTTCGACTCAAGAAGAAATTTCTGCATCGGTTCACATATTGAAATATGATTTACTATCCAGAATAATAAATTTTTAAAATAATAAAATTTGAAACTTTACAATGATATATAATCATTTAATATTTTATACATTTAAAAAGCTTTTAAGTAAAATCATCAATAATCTTTTAATAATGGGGGCGTGATATTAAAATTAAACAAAAATCTTCCAATTATAAGTTCATAAACTGTTTAAAGTAAATTTTAATATTTATTAAGAATATGTCTTGGTTATAAATAATCTCTAAGTTTTATGGGTACTTTTCGTTTTAACGATTTTGTACGATAATAAACCTACTTTAAAATAGATTNGAGGCCTTTCTATGAAAACTGGAGGAGCTGTAAACAGCATATTATTCAGATATTTTTGAATTGTAAAACTATATTAAGGTACATTATTATACTAATAAATTACGTTATCATTTTTAAGACTTAATATTATTAATTTCGTATAAGTTTTATAATATTAAGTTTTAATACTAAAAAGAAACAGATTATTCATACTATAATGATGTTGAAACAATAGTTTTTTCTTTATGAAATGTACAAGGTAAATACAATAAAACATTTGAAAATTTAATAATGATACATGTGTGCAATTTTATTAAAATATTAATGTTGACATTATCTTCAACATAATTTTTAATGAAATTCGGTTTTGATTTAAAAAATGAAAAAAGAAAAAGACTACAAACAAAGACGTTTTCAATCACTTTAATTAATTATTTAACTATTGATGTTTGGATGTTGGAATTTCAGAGAAAATGAAAAATTAATCAAAATTTAATTAGACAATTCTTTTAAAACATTATTTTACTAATGAATTTAAAATTCTTAATGATGAAACAAAAAATCTTTTTCCCCCTTCCTTTATATATACTGTATATATAAGAAACGTTAAATTTCTTCAAATCTTTTATGATTAATTATAATATAATGATTTATGTTTGCTGTGAAAGTATGATATATATATCAATAGAAAGCTTTATTCTTTAGAATTTCGTAAACCGAATGACACGTAGTAGAATTGAAAATATAAAAAAAGATAACGTAATAAGTGATTTGAGTGGGTAACGTATATAATACGCCTTAACACGTTTTGTGAATCTGATTAGATAAGCAGTAACCCATATAACATTTCTCAAGAACCGTGAAAAATCGACTACTATCTACAACTATGTAACGTAGAGAAAAGACAGAAAAAAGTCATGAAGACATCTCGGTAGCGGAAAGAGTACTTTAAGAGGCTAACAAAGAACACCTTCAGCAAAAGGATCGATTTGATATCTGCAGTAAGGATAGAAGAATTGAATCCTAACTGGCTCACATGATTTATAGTGCACCCGGCTGAACTAAAGGAAATGAATGAGGTAAGATGATGGTTTGGTCAGCTTACGGATGAGATTTGCGCCAACCAATAGATGCGTGTGAAAGTGCAATTACACATTAACGACAGGAGAACAGCGCAATCACTCACTAGTCGACCTACTTTGACTGAGTGGACCACGCACATGCCATTTACAATTCTTTTCTTATACTAAAGCCATTATTAGTGGAAGCTAAACTGTGCAATCGATAATACCTAGCAGCACTTCTTTGCAATAGAATCCACTACTTTCGAAAACATTTCAATACAGAATATTACTTATAAAATGTATTGTGATTACAGCGAATTAATTTCAGCCGAGACTAATTTGATTTTAATTATAGGTGAAATTAAATAAATTTGAACGTGAATCTTAATTAGTAAGACTTTAATTATGTAAATCAGAAAAACTCCTCTCACTTTCAAGAAATTCAAATTACTTAAAATTAAAACGAATGGTAGTGCAAGAAAATGTTTGTTAACTGCATTTTTATAGCGACATAAATGTCTTATGACCACGCCTGAGATTAAACTTCGATCGTTTGCATTTGATACATTACAAGTATCTGAGTGGATAAAATGGTCCTGGCTCTGCCTCAAGTGTAGATTTTTGTATCCTCTTAAGCCAATTGAACTTACCTTTTGGATGGAGTATGTAGTATTCTTGCTGTCCAATGCCGAGAGTATTTTTTGCTGCACAGCTATAGTTACCTCGACTATTGAGTGATACACGGTCAATGGTATAGTTGGCTGTAGTGACCAATAGAACTTTCCCATTGTATTCCCAGTGGAAGGCTGTAGCTTCAGGACTTCCCAGGTCATCTACTTCACAGCTTAACGTTGTATGTTTTCCTTTCACAGCAGGCCGGTCAAGATGATGTAATTTTGCTTTTCCTGGAAGATCTGTTAACATATAAAAAATATATTTAAGACTCTTTTAAAAGATAAGATTGAAAGTTTATTTTTGATATTTAATATAAAATTAAATACAAGAGAAATTTATTGATGACTCTCTACAATAATTTAAGTAAGAAGAAACGAGAGTTGCAATGTGGAGAAGTGATAAAGACTTATTCTGTGGCAAAAAGTTAAAATAAAAGAAAAATAAAGAAACGAATTTAAAATAACCATTTGCATATGGGTTATATATAACTATAAATATATCTAGAGATAAAATCATAAATTTATATTCTGGATGTAATTTATCATAAATGATATTTAGCAGAACAGGAAATTCTTGTCTATAGATATGTCAACGAACATTTGTCATTTGCAGTTACGATTCCCTTATTTATTATATTGACCCGCTAATGTATCCAGTTGTTCAACGATTCGTTTATTTCATTTTGCTATAATGACAAATCCAAGTTGTTCACTAATGTGAAATTTAATTAATTTGGTAAACTGTTTGTATAAAGCTGATTAAACTAAATTCATTTATTAATGTTTAGATATGTTTCTGAACTCCATATGAATAATAGAATCAAAATGAAATTTATAAAAATCCTTATCATCAGTTATTAAAATTTATATCTAACATTGTTTAATTTTATATGAGTTTTAAAGTTATCAAACAATTCTGAATATGTTTAATATATTAACGAATGAATAATTGTGAATTAAGTTATGTAGATAGAGATATTTAGACAACCATTATTAAAGAGAATTTGAATAGAATTAAATAATTGATATATCCAAACATTAATTATAAACAATGAAAATATTGTTCATTGAAGAGTATACAAACTTTTAGGAAAAATAGTATTAAAAAATTAATTCTGCATATGATTGAAGTCAGTACAATTGTTATTTTTTCCGTAAAATTATCAATTTATTTAACTATGTCGATTTGATATCAACCGAAAACATTTTCAATTTTCTAAAACGTAAAATAATCTTTAATATTTCATAACGGTAAACTAACGATGATTTCATAATTTACGGTGCATCAAGCACGTTAATTGGCGCTAGTTTCCTACAGATTTTATTCCATTAATTGTAAAAAATCCGTTCGTTTTTATAGCCTAGAGTAAGTTTCTTCTTCAGCATCGTTCTTGAACGTAGACTTACGGTTTATTGCAAACTTTATTAATTTACTCCACTTCTAACCTGGTACCTATTAATATCTAATTATCCCAGCTAAGAGGCAGGGTACTTTTAATTACAAGGAAAATTATATGGCTGCCTAGAAGTGCTTAGAGTAAGAGTGGATAAAAACACGATAATTTTCACATTAGATTGTTTTACGGTAGAAATAAAACTTTATTTTCTGTGGCATCTGAAGTGATTACTCAGTTGCATTATTTCATTCGCGCTGGACACACTTTCTCTAGGGACAGGCACTAGATATAGAAATAGCTACGCGGCTGGAAATGTCTTAACAGGTCATGCACTGTGCCATTTCTCTTGCGTGTACAACCATTAACGTTCAGCCGCTCTGTAAGATCTACAAGCATTAATCGATAAGGAAAACTTAGTCCGACTGACTATTGTACTACCCTTCTCTTGCTCTTAACTTTATCAATTTAATAATCTACATTAGCAATTTTGGTTTTTACAATATGTACAGTACAGTACATATACCTGCAACTCGTGAGAAAATGAGATTATTGCCACGGAATGTGATCATTTGACATATTTTAAATAGAACTTATTAGAAGAAGCACAGAATTAATTTTAATATGTTTTAATTGAAATAAATTGTATCCAAACTGCATATCTGTTGCTATGTTTTGTTATTTATGATATCAACTAATTAATTAGTAATATTTCAATAATATTATTCTTCTCTTTCAAAAGTTTAATTAAGTACTAAAATAACAAATATTTATTTTTTTCTTTGAAAAAGTTAATAAAAAGTACAATATAAGAAAAATATAAAAATTAGAAATATAATTAAATTAAATTATTTGAAAATTTAATTTCTGCACACCATGAAATTTTGATTAAAAAACTTATAATTTCTGTTGTAATATACTTAGGTAAATATAGAAAAAACTAGAGCTTAATTCTGTCTGAGGTTTAACTATTTCAGAAATTCTGATTTTATTGTTTTTACAACAACGTAAATCCTTTGTTATCCGATTTAATGAAGGGTAAGTTTAAACCAGATAACTTAAGAAAACAAACAAGAGAAAAATCTCTATGGTAAATCTACTTGAAACGGAATTAAAAGTATTTAAATATTCTAAAAATTATTAATTAATTTTTAGTTGAGTTTTAATCAAAATGGATTACTTTAATCAGAATAATCTCTTTTCAAAACAATTAAACAAACAACGGTACAAAAATCAGGATTTTTCGCATTTGTTTTATTGCATTTATATTATTCTATTGTATAGACAGAGCAAATGTATTGGATTGGATGAAAGTGAGATGGATTAATTGAAAGGCCTATACGATTGCATGATTTGCATTTAAATTCTGGAAATAAGCAGAAAAATAAATTTCAATTAAAATAACAAATAAAGTTGTATTCGTTACTTACAATTAACGACAAATTGTACAGGTTCTGAAATATTTCCCCAACCAGCTTCATTTTGCCCCTGGCAACTGTAGTTCCCCGTTAATTTTCTGGTCACATTTAACCATCTGATTTCTTTAGATGTTGCTTCGTTCATTAATTTGTTATCTTTGTACCATCTTACTAGAAGTAAATTCGCCGGATTTCCATCGATAATGTCACATTGTATATTAACATTGCTCACTTTGTCTTCGGGGACTTGGGTGGGAGATATTCTTGCTCTGACAGTTGGCCGATCTACAATAGAACGAGAGTCATTCAGTTTGCAACTAAATTACCCGTGTTTACTCCCAAGTAATCTACTTAGATATGCCCAATTAGTCAATCTACTATTCAACTTAAATTATATAATATTTATTTACTGCGCTACGATAATTGGATACGATCTCTTAAAATTTTGCGAAACACTTTCGTGATATAATAATGGAAACAAGATAACGAAGATATTTGTTTTCTCGTGAGATTTGCACCAAACTTGTAAGTATCACCTGCTGAAATCTCAGTAGATATAACAAAATTTATGTTATCTTAATTTTACTCGGTTTAATAATTGGAGAAGTGTCAACCATATATTATAAAGTTTTAAGCTTGGATCAGCAGAAACTATTAAATATTTTTATGGCATACCTACTTTTGTAAAATAACTTATATTCAAAAGTTGCATGTAAATTCTCCATTTGATGTAGAAGCGCGATATCTTTTTAAAGTGTGGACATTTTTGCAGATGTTCGAGACATTTTACCTAACTTCTGCGAAGGTCAAAAAGATTGTAGGCAATAACATTCCAACTCGAAGATATGACGACAAAACAGCTCATTTTAAAATTTTGTCGAAAGGTTTGAAAGTCAAATATATTTTTACTGCCTCAAGCTTAACCTCACCCAGATTTCAAATATATATATATATATATTTTTCCCTACAGTTATTGCGTCGAATACTTACAAGAAAGATAGTAAATAAGTCATTTACTTGATTTTTATATAACTGTTTAATATTCCTCTTGTGAAAACTAAAATTTTTAACATAATATTTACCGTATTTACCTTTTTGTGATTTTTAACAATTTCAAATACATTTTTTAATATTAATTTTATATAATTTTATTTTTGTACATAAAAAACACATATTACGATTCGATAGTAATGGTTTGTTATAATTAAATTAATTATAGTCAATTAAAAAATTTAAAACCAAAATATTTAGCAAATTTAATTTTAATTTTTATTACGCACGAATATAAATTAAAATTAGCTAGCGACGATTTTAAACGTAATTGATTTAAATTTTTTTTACAATTAATAAATGTTAATTTTTTTTTATAATTTTAAATCAAAGATGTTGACAAGCGAGAAAATTTTTTTGTTCTAAACATGGCCATAAACCCATGATATATTCTCATTTTTAATCAATCGCTTGTATAGATGTCTATACCTTATATTGCTTTTTTATTGTTAACTTTTATGCCGTCTAATAGTTTTTATTGCGTTTTTGTTGTGAGAGAAGTTTCTTTCATAGTTTTGTGACTTTTCGGAAGTTTGAAAAAGTCGAAAAGTTTTTTTTATTTTCTTATTCTTCAGGTGACAATTATTTCAATTGTGTTTCAATAAATAATCAAACCATTAGTAAATTGGTAGCATTATTCCATATTTGATTATGTTGTCAATGCCAGTTAACATAAATTCATTCACTCCATTTGCCTGTGAATACAGTTATTAATTTTTATGAAGAATATAAATATATAATTGAAAAAATAATTTTATAATCAGAATTAGTTTTATTTACTGAAAATCTGGATGAAAAATACATTTATTCAATCCAAAAATATATCAAATTATATTTTTATTCGGATGTATTATAAGAACATTGCAGCATGTGATTTAATAGATCTTTTAGCTCATTATCTATGATATAAATTACGATAAAACAAGCATCATTTATATAACATTTTTATCCAATAACATTCAATTTTTAAGAGATTCGATCCAATCATTTTTAAATTGAAGCTAAACATATAAAAAATATTATTTTAGATCTACTTTATCAATTCATTTATATGAATTGATAAGTAGATCTAATTGATATATATTAATATACATAAATTTATTAAACATGAGAATAAATATTAAAAAAATATTACTTTAAGATTATATTCAGCAATTAGTAATATAAATTATTATNTCAGGTGACAATTATTTCAATTGTGTTTCAATAAATAATCACACCATTAGTAAATTGGTAGCATTATTCCATATTTGATTATGTTGTCAATGCCAGTTAACATAAATTCATTCACTCCATTTGCCTGTGAATACAGTTATTAATTTTTATGAAGAATATAAATATATAATTGAAAAAATAATTTTATAATCAGAATTAGTTTTATTTACTGAAAATCTGGATGAAAAATACATTTATTCAATCCAAAAATATATCAAATTATATTTTTATTCGGATGTATTATAAGAACATTGCAGCATGTGATTTAATAGATCTTTTAGCTCATTATCTATGATATAAATTACGATAAAACAAGCATCATTTATATAACATTTTTATCCAATAACATTCAACTTTTAAGAGATTCGATCCAATCATTTTTAAATTGAAGCTAAACATATAAAAAATATTATTTTAGATCTACTTTATCAATTCATTTATATGAATTGATAAGTAGATCTAATTGATATATATTAATATACATAAATTTATTAAACATGAGAATAAATATTAAAAAAATATTACTTTAAGATTATATTCAGCAATTAGTAATATAAATTATTATTTGCTAAGTATCAATAATAAGAAGAAATCAACAAAATAAATGAGCTCTCTACGTAATTTTTCGTCTAATTAATAAATAAATACAAGCTTAACTTTATAAAAAAATCATTAAAGTTTTTTAAATATAAAAAATGATATAAAATTTACTTACATATTACATTCATGTACATTGGCTCTAAAGCCTTATTTCTTCCTATACTATTATTTACAGCGCAGCTATACATTCCAGCATCATTTCTTGATATGAAATTTATGATTAATGACGGTATACCGAAATTATTGAATTTATAACGACTAGTAGTATTTATATTTATTTCAGTATTGTTTCTGTACCAAATTACTTCGGTTGCATTAGGAGGATTGGCATCAAAGGTGCAATTAATAATAGCTGATCCCGTTTCATTCACTGTTAATCTCGCAGATGGCCCGACTATAACTGAAGGAGAATCTGCAATAAAAATGTTAGGTATTAAGTAGATACAAAAAGTGTCAGAAGTATTTATAATAAAAAAATTAACGTCAGTTTACTTTGATATAAACATCTTAAAATAATATATAATTTAATATTTTATATTGAAAGATTATGATAAATTGCAATGTATGAATATTATTGTTGACTTTTTAAAAAAAGCATTTTGCCAAAATGAAAAACGTCATTGCAAATATTTCTAACATAAAACAAAGAAACATATACAACAGAAATTATTTCCACTTGATAAGAACGTTAAGTACAAATTACACGAAATCTCATTTGTTGATAAGGAAAGAAAAAGAAAAACAGTATAAAGTGATATATTTACGCAAAAAGAAAACTTGGACGGTATCCAGACATTTTAATTGAAAATCAATGAAAACCTATGTAAACTGAGCCAAGCAAGCATATTCCATTCGCTAAAGTTTTTGTGGTCGCTGCCCTCAAAGGTCCTCCAACCTTTTAGTGGCATTTCTGCAACCACAAATTTCTATAAAACGGTGAATGAAATCGGTAACGTTTAAAACTAAGCCGTATACTGTTACTACTAATTGTTAGAAAATAACGTTTAATTAATTTGCATAATATAAGAACAATAAGATAATCGTATTATGTGTAAACAACATGAAAATACTAAAATAAATAAAATAAAAATACTTTTTGTCGCATTTGTTTGAATAATCACCGTAATTAATTAATGTAAAAAGCATTAAAATAAACGTTAAAATTTATTTTAATTAACAATAAAAGTAATCAGATTACATATTCTTTTATTTATAAATTAAATCTGTGAGTAATTAAGATTATTTTATAACAAGTAAACACGCGAAAGTTAAGATAAAAAAAATAATGTTTTTCCTTAATAAAGTTTTTCTCATTTAATATTTAAGTCAAAATAATTACAGTAAAAATATTAAAGTAGAAAATAAGTATTTTTATTTTTATCATTGATTTTTTTTGTGTACTTTTGTTGACTATGAAAGAAAACAATTGTAAAGGGTAAGCGATGCTATGCAAAACGTAGTTCAATGCTTTCTGTAAATTTAATTCAGTGCACAATATACGAAATTGGAAACCAGCTTTAAAATATAATCTGAAGAGTTAACAAATGGAGAGATAAGTTGCGAAAATTGTGAATAACATATACTAACTTGTAACAGTATATTTAGACATTAAAATCTAACATAAATATAAATCACAATATGTAAATTAATTATAGTTAATTTTATAAATGCAAATGAAAGATAAATCTTTTACATAGCATAAATTTGTCGTAAATTAAATATATATATATTTGCTAATTATCGATTAGATTTTATTTTGTTATCGTAAAAAAAAAAAAATTCAAACAATTTAACTGGTTCTATGATTTTTATTTAAACGGCTCAACCTACTTGGTATCATGCTATTTTCACTGACTTGACATCTACTGGGAACAGAAATTCCCCAAAGTCGATGTAATAAATTTGATGGCGAAACAGTACATCTCAAGTTTCTTAGCTACGTATTTCTCAATTTTATTTTCTAGAAAACGATTAAATTTGGTTACTTTGGATACTTACTGTTGAAAACTATGAAATGACTAAGGAGTTACTTTCAAATTTTGCTTTTCAAAACGATAAAATATATATTAAAAAAAATTGTTTTTAACTTTATAAATATTTTAAAGTTGCGTGTAAAATTTTGCAAATTCTCTAGAAAAATATATTCTTAAAAATTATGCTTAAATTTTAGCACTAAAATTTCAACTTTTTTTATGATAAAAATGCTATTTTATGACTCGGATAATAATCATTTAAAAATTCTTTATACAGTTTAATGAAATTTTTAACAATCTACGTAATGTTAATGTTAAATATAAAAGATAAATTGCAAATTTTAATTTAAAATAAAAATAAAGAAAATTTAAGTTTTTACACAAATAACCTTCGTAAAGTGAATTTTTGTGAAAATTTAAAAACTAAATCTTTTCTTTTTTAAATTTAATGTTACTCGAAGAATAAAAATATTTATTTAAATTAATTTTCGAGATTTTTTTAAACGTGTACGTTATCTTTAGAGACGACTTCAACGTTTAGATTCATTAGGAAAGTGTATATTTAAAAATTTTTATCCCAATGTGATTTCTATATGGGTTTTAAATTGACTTTTGATTTCGAATTAAGTAGGAAAAACATATTTAAATTATAAAGAGTTGGGAGATGTGATATAAAAATATAAAAATCAGCGACTTCTTCAGGAAAATGTATTTTTGAAGAGACAACATAGAAAGTCGGGATGTTAGTCGTCTTGGATATTATCGACAATCCACAGGCTTCGAGTAAAAGAAAAACTAAGTCTTATCTTTACACAACATTTCAAATCTGGCATTCAGATGGGGTAGAGAGTAATCTGCCAAATTTGCCCCCATCCAAGTCGTTTCGTCGCATTCAATAGATCCACCTTAGTTTCTATTGTGGTTGAAAATACGATTGGNAAGTGTCAATAAATACTTAATAAATATTCTAATTATAAATTTAAGGATTTATAATTTATGTTTAAAAAATTTAGATTTATTTTTAAGTACTTAATCAAGCCAGATCTATGAAAAAATCTTCAAGTACTTTAAAGTTCTATAATTCCTGTACAAGGGTAGATAAAGGTAATGCAATCAACTTAAACAAAATAGTAATTTATCATTAGCAAACAACGTTCAAATTATCGGTTTTTATATTATGATATTAACTAATAAATACCGATGAAAAATCATGACAGATTGTCTTTATACATTAAATTTGACAATGTATAATTTATTGAATTCAAAATCGAAATAATATATACGGACAATTCTCAAAAGTATTTTTAAAAACTAAATTAGTAAATCATGTAACACTTAAATAACTTCGATAAGTTGTTTAAATTCCATATGATTTAATTTTTTTTTCTTCGAGCAAATACATAACGTTCATGCAATAACTGGAATTTAATCATGTGTAACAACATTCTTTCAGTTCATTTTTTTATCATACGCCATTCTTTCATCAATGTAAACAAATTTTCCTTTCATTGCTATGCATATTTTACATATTTGACAACTTTTTTTCTTCTTTTGGAATTTTCTAATAAATGTTTCAAACTGCTGCTTCAAACCAAACAAATATTCCTTCTGTATTATCTGCACTCATTCACACTGTTTATACTATAGTGTAACGTTATTATTATAGACAAAAGAAATATTAAGATTAAATAGAAGTTTTAGAAAATAAATAAGAAAAAAAACAAGAGCATATTGTTTTCGGATTGTTGATATATGTCAACACTTTTTTAGAAAATCAATTTTTGCAACTAACACCTTCATTTGCATGTAAATCGTTTGTTTCAAAAGTTTGTCTAATCTTTATAAAGTACATAAAAAATAAAGGTTATACACAAGATTAACAAAAAATATTTTAATTTGTGATATAAATTGATAATAAGAAATGTTTAATTTCTGTTTAAAATAATTATATATTAATGTACTAAACTTTTATTTTTTGTATATTTTATTTACATTTTTTTCTATAAAATAATATTAAATTGTACTGCTATTAAAAATATTCTAATACGTCTTTCAATTTACACAATTTTTTCTTAAATTATAATTTAGTTGTCAAACTTTCTGCTTTATAATAAATAATCAAATTAGAAATGATTATTATGTGGTTAATTTCGTAAAATAATCTTAATGCTACATAGAAACAAGCTCAGCTGGCAGAGAACTACTTCCTTGCTGATCCCAATTTGGAAGAAGATTTCTAATTCAGCTTTTAAGACTAGCTTCGAATACAAGGGATAAGGAAATTGTTACCAGAAAAGAGAAACTAAGTAAGGGTAATTCCTATCTTCTTAATGTCTATGCTTATGAATTAATCTGTTAAACTTTTACGCTAAATAAGATAAAGATAAATACTAAGATTTGTAATACCAACGACTTTCAAAGGATTGGCTAAAGCACCTTGAGATAGGAAGTTTAATTGTTTTAGATAGATTTGTCAAGTGAACGACACACAATTTTCTTTTTATGTGTACTGTGTTATTTTCTGTTTTTATATCTGGCTAGGTGACAAAATTTATCCAATAATAATTACACGATTACATAGGTTATAGATATATATAAATGAGATTTTTATAGGAAAAATGGTAATTTCATTTGCGATATTTATTTTGTAGAATTATTATATAATAAAATCTTTGCCATCATTTACAAATTTTGATTATGTTTTAAAATTAAAACTAGTAACTTAGAAATAATGAGTTGAAGCTGCCAGACTCCATAAAGTCTGTTGGAAATCGTTAACAAATTCCAAAAATTGCTATGATGATGCAATCAAGAATTTTTCCTTGAGTAAATAATAATATTTGTTTAGAGTTCTCAAGTAAATTTATATCGAAAATTATTCTTAATCGATCAAATTAAGCATTTCATCCTCTAGTATTAATTAAGAATAAAATATAAATTTAGGATTTTGTTTACATTCGTTATAGCAATATTAATTTTGAAAGATATTGAATTGTCTAGTAAATTAGTAAAATTAAACAAAAATCTTCCAATTATAAGTTCATAAACTGTTTAAAGTAAATTTTAATATTTATTAAGAATATGTCTTGGTTATAAATAATCTCTAAGTTTTATGGGTACTTTTCGTTTTAACGATTTTGTACGATAATAAACCTACTTTAAAATAGATTTTTAATGATTGTTTTTATTCTGCTGTTTAACAATTAAATTGTTTTTTATATGCGTAAGTTCTTTTAATTACTATAAAACTAACCGAATGAATTCATTTCAATACTCTATACACTTATATATAAATGAATTTAAAAAAAAATCCAATTTAGGTAGGAAATAAGCATTTAATTTTTTCATTCTATAGCTTAATTTTATAGAAAATACAAAAATATTCATATTTTTAAGGCATCTGCATGATATAATTTATGTAATTAATCTATATTACAGTATATTAATATATCTAGAATTATTTTGATAAGTGAATTATCTTATCATAAAAAGTAATTTAGAATTTCAAAAATATAAACAATTTATTCAAAAATTTTATGATTTCTTATATTGGTTAAGGGCCAAAAACATTTAAATATAATAATGTCATATTGAAATTTTTGGCTCCAAACCAATAACAGATTTCGACATTTTAAAGCAAATTTTGGATTTAATAATTTATTTTTAAAATTATATAAACTTAATAAAAATATTTTTACATAATTTTAAAGTTAAATGTTAAAATTGTGGTTAATTAGTTTATTATTAAATAATAATAAATACACCTTTTAATAAGTCAATATACAATTATATAAATTGGAATACTTACATAGAACTTGTAACCTGACAGTATCTTCTAGAGGCTGATCTCCAGATGCACTCATCACGGGATTACTCGCCTTACAGATTATTGTTTTTAGATGATCATATCTTGAGAGAGGTAATATTAAGCGACTTATCGTGCGGAATGTACCATCATCTAAACCCTCCTCTTGAATGCTGGAACTCATTGCTACTATTTCGCTACCATTATACCACTTCACAGAAGCTGGAGGTTTGGCTCCATCAACGATACAAATTAATTCTGCGTGTTCCCCTTCAATAACCGGTACTGGCTGCTCTTCTAGTTCCAAAGCGAACGGTTTAACTGTAAAATTAAGTAAAAATTCTTTATTATAAGTTAAGATTTTAATACTCAACGCTATCACTTTACATCATTTCAACCGACAGTATTAAGTATAAGTTAATTTTCTCATTAGTATAATCTTATCAAAAATTGGTTAACACAGTGACTTAACAGCACTTAAAATCATGATATTACACGCATTAATAACTACATTTATTAATCTACTATGAATATTAAAATTACATTTTTCCTTATCACACTTTTTAATTATCCCAATGCACACATTTCCACCATATTCTTATTAATGTTTTATCCGATAATTATATAAAATTTATTCTATTGAGTTTAATTTCTCGCAAGAGTTTTCTCTAAATTATCGATAATAATTTTTTTTAATTCATTTTAAAAATTTATATATTAACTAAAAATTATTTTTAACGAACATTTATCCGTCAGGTATTATTATTAATACTTAATATTTTAGAATTAAATTACTTTAAATAATTTCTACATATAATTTTTCTATAATAAATATATATATATAAATTAATTAAAATAATATATTAGCAAATTTTTAAATCAAACTAGAGCTTATTATTTAAATAATTGATTTTATTTTTGACGTATTTTTCTAACAGTTGTAAGAATAACAGCAATAATAATAATCTTAAAAATTAAAGATAAGAATAAAATCGATGAAAAGATTTAAAAATTCGATTTTCATCCCCATATCAGATTTAGTTTCTTGTACTTATCTACCTGTCTAACTGCCACACTAACAGAATTCATATAAGTGAAAAGCACCAAGATATCACTTCTTACAACCAAGAGATAGATTTGTTAAATATATATATAAATATATCGATAAACCAATAACGTAAATCAAGCATAGAGAGATGTTAGAGAAATGATTTCCATTTTGTAAAACAAAACATTCTAATTTTTATTTTTTAATTCTATTTTCAAGAAAATAAATGACGAGACAATTTTTCTACTTTTATCGATAGATAAATAAACAAGAAAATTTTTCATCCATTAATAGAAAGTTTTGGCATTATTTTGACATTTTGGAAATTAACTTAGTAATACTTCATCTAAACAATCTGAAAGAAAGAATAATTTGAGAAAATAATATTGACAGTAAAAATGTCAAAAATAAAATGTATTTTGTAGATATTTCTGTCTTTATTTTTCTACTCGCAGATGTTGCATCTTATTACTGAATATTTTTGATGAAAGTTAGGATATTAAGATTTAACATATTGTACTAATGCCTCCTTAACACTTTGCTTGATGCTTGTAATGATCGTTTGCCTTGATAATATTAAGGATAAGGATATTATTAGCATATTGAAGATTTCAGAGTGGCAGTTAAACATTAATGGCGTTGCAAGAGTTTAAACACTTGTCAGAATTATATCATCAGAACTACATATTGAGAATAATTTAAATAAATATGTATTTCTAAAAACTATTTAAATTCAATTTTTCAAACTTTTAAAAATGTACATAAACGCCTTTGTTAATTTACTCTCGAAAATCTAAATAAATTACATTATTTTTAAATGTAATTATTATATTTAAATTGTTATATATAGTTAAATTAAATATAATAATTAGTTAATGCGTATATTTAGTAAGTTATTATATAAATACGTCTTTATAATTAACCATAAAATGACATTTATTGTTCTTTCTATTATATAAAGGAAGTTAGAAATTATCTAATAGCATTAAAGTTTCTAAATTCTGACTAAAAGCTGCTGTCTTGTTACATTAAAATCTTTTTAATTTCTTATTTTCGTAGAAAACTGTAAAACGTTACCAGAGTACTTTAAAGTTATTCAAAGAAAATTTAATCAACTTAGGCGTCTCTTGTATTGTACACACTTAACAGCTAGTTGGTAACTACTCTTAGAACAATCATTTTCTTAGAATAGCGACAGAAGGTTCACCTCCCCCGAATCTACTTTCAGGGTAAACTATAAATTTTCTAATCCCCTGTATATTTAAGAAAGGTAAACCTCTTCTTTTTTAATCTCTTCCATTTATCATTAAGTTTGACACGGACAGCAAAAGGCGATTTAAAATAGTTGCTAGTAGTAGCATTGTGTTCTAATACATGCTGAAATGACACATAATTGATCATCATTTATCTTATGTTTACTAATGGTTCAAAGAAAAAAAAAACCTCTCTTTGCGTGACATCAATCTGTCCAATTTACCTTACCATCAAGATCTAGTCGAATCCACGCAACTAATGGAGTTTCAGTAGCGTCATTTTCAACTCTGCATTCAAGCACTGCACCTAAATCTTCTCTCATCAGCTGGAACTTGACTCTCGACGTAACATTGTTTATACCCATTTCATTCTCTGACAAAGTACTTTCTTCAGGTAAATTCTCTTCTTTTTTCCACCATGACACTTCGGGTATCGGTTTCCCACCGATTGTTGTACAGTGAAACGTAACAATGGTCCCTTCGATAAATGGTCCCACACTAGAACCATTTCTGTATTCCCTTCCACCATAGAGTATGGTTGGTAAGTTGGGTCTTGCTAGAGAAAGAACGAAAAAAATTAGAATTTTGCTTAAAACTAATCTAATTATTTATAAACATAAATTATATATTTTTTAGTTTGGAAAACGTAATTATATCTTCGAAATAGTACAAATACTTTTTCATGACCCTGTTATTATTAGGATAAAAGTGAAATATAAATTTCAATCTACAATTTCTATACTTAGTTATATTATAATTTAATGTATCCATAAAACTTTTACTGGTACAGTATATATTACCAGTCAAGGTTTTATTGCTTTATAAATGAATAATTACTAATGAACTGTGCCTATTCAACTTTATCTGCAAATATAGACTTTAGTGAATGAAGAATTATTGAATTTCATTTTTTGTCCGAAAAGCTTCATTTACTTAAAAAATCATACAGCTTTTTAAAATAAAAATTAGTATTATTCATTTGTTGACAATTAAAATTTTTAACTATATATAAACAGAGTAACCTTTTATCGATTTTCTATAATTTAATATTTTATATTGAAAGATTATGATAAATTGCAATGTATGAATATTATTGTTGACTTTTTAAAAAAAGCATTTTGCCAAAATGAAAAACGTCATTGCAAATATTTCTAACATAAAACAAAGAAACATATACAACAGAAATTATTTCCACTTGATAAGAACGTTAAGTACAAATTACACGAAATCTCATTTGTTGATAAGGAAAGAAAAAGAAAAACAGTATAAAGTGATATATTTACGCAAAAAGAAAACTTGGACGGTATCCAGACATTTTAATTGAAAATCAATGAAAACCTATGTAAACTGAGCCAAGCAAGCATATTCCATTCGCTAAAGTTTTTGTGGTCGCTGCCCTCAAAGGTCCTCCAACCTTTTAGTGGCATTTCTGCAACCACAAATTTCTATAAAACGGTGAATGAAATCGGTAACGTTTAAAACTAAGCCGTATACTGTTACTACTAATTGTTAGAAAATAACGTTTAATTAATTTGCATAATATAAGAACAATAAGATAATCGTATTATGTGTAAACAACATGAAAATACTAAAATAAATAAAATAAAAATACTTTTTGTCGCATTTGTTTGAATAATCACCGTAATTAATTAATGTAAAAAGCATT